TTTTTCTCTCTCTTTTCTTTAGCGTAGTGTACTCATTTTCTAAAAGTTCTAGAATGGCCTTATTTCTTAAATTTTCTTTAAATGACACAATTAGGTGTAATAATCAAGATCGACAAACTTTGTTTACAAAAGGTTTAATAAGCCGGAAATGTAGGTCCAAATATGGTGATTGAAAGTTGTGTTTCTTCAAAATTGTCATAATATAAAAGTGATTAAGACGTAATCAACATGCATAACGGACATACCTAATTACATTAATTAACAACTAAATTTCTCACATAATATAAATGATCAAATCCAGTTAGGTTGTCTTATAAGGAAACAATTTTCTAACTAATTTAACTATTATTTCTTCATATCATATTTCAATATATGTTGTCATACTTCAGACTCTTTGACGGTTGCAATTTCTGCACGTAAAATATTAGCGGTAGGTAGCGTCCATTTAATACAAACATATCAATTGTTTGGTACGTAACATTAAATTCATCTAGATTTGTATACCCTTATAAATAGGTAGCGGCCATTTAATACAAACATATCAATTGTCTGTTACTCCCTCCGTTCAACAATAGTTATCAATTATAATATTTTGGAATATTTAATAATATTTGTCCACTTTATAAAATAATAGATAATTTTACACTTAGTTTTTAATTTACCCTTATCATTGATTATAGTTATTTTTCTATCGCATTTTTCAAAACATTGTATTTATTATATTCAAAAGGTGATATAATAAAATTACCGTTCTATTTATAGTTTATTAAGAAGTGTGCAAAGTCAACAGCGAACAACTATTATTGGAACATTAAATTCATCTACGTTTTTATACTCCCTCCATCCAACAATAGTTGTCCACTATACTATTTTGGAATGTTCAACAATACTTGTCCACTTTATAAAATCAATGGATAATTTTACACTTAATTCATAATTTACCCTTATCATTAATTATAATCATTTCTCAATTATATTTTTCAAGACATTATAATTATTATATTCAAAGGGTGATATAGTAAAATTACTTTTCTATTTATAAATTTTAAAAAATATGCCAATTAAATAGTGAACAAATATTATTAAACTCAGAGAGTACCTTTTTAAATAGGTAACGGCCATTTAATACAAATCTGGTATTTTACTCAAAAAGTGAACGAATTTATATAGCAAATGTGCTTTTGCAAATAAAAATAATAATCTAGAAGTGCTTTTCAATTGAAAAGCATAAGGTTTTTGACCAAACACTTTCTTTTGGGAGGATTAGGGCGGTTTCCAAATCTATTAAGTTAGTTTGGTTGAGGGTATAATAAATAGTGTTATTGAATTTAGTTATGTAAGAATTAATTATATTGACATTATTTTTTATTTATAATTTGATTTGATGTATTAAAAATAACATTCATCACATAATATTTTAAAAGATTATTCGTATTCAAAAATATCCTTCACTTTCAGAAGCAACTATATCATTAACCATGTTTATGCTGATTTATGCCAACTCTTGTATTGCTAATACCATAAATTGTAGTGCCAAATATTTATAGGCATAAATATATTTGGCACTTCATTCATAAAGTAAAATCAGGCAAAAAATTCTGGAAATTTTAAAAACATGGGAATTAATATTTTTAATAATTCACATGAATTTGCAGGGATATGGTATGACAGAGGCAGGACCAGTAGTAACAATGTGTCCAGCATTTGCAAAGCAACCATTATCAACTAAATCCGGTTCATGTGGCTCTGTGGTTCGAAATGCGGACCTCAAGGTGGTTGACCCGGAAACCGGTGGCTCCCTTGACCGCAACCAACCCGGTGAAATTTGCATTCGCGGTTCTCAAATCATGAAAGGTCGTTATTAATTCATTATAAATTTTTACTTTCCATACATTGAAAGCGTAAAAATGATACTCTTATTAGGTAATCGTCTATAAATAATATGGAATTTATATTAAAATGTTATATGTATGGGTTAATTAGGTTATCTGAATGATGATGAGGCCACTGCACGGACCATAGATATCGATGGATGGCTCCACACCGGCGATATAGGATATGTAGATGACGATGATGAAATATACATTGTCGATAGAGTCAAAGAGCTCATAAAGTTTAAAGGTTTCCAGGTATATATATATATATATATATATTGACAACGTTAAATATTTTTTATATCATCAGTTCATTAGTGTATAGAACTTAAACTCATTTGCTGGTTCGTTTAGGTGCCACCAGCTGAGCTTGAGTCTCTTCTAATAAGCCATCCAGAAATTGCAGATGCTGCTGTTGTACCGTAAGTACAATTAATACAATTCCACATATACTGAATCATAGAAAAAATTATTGTGTTAATTTGGCTCTTATATATTGAAGTTTTAAAAATGTTTTAACAATTAATTAATTAATTTATGCAGGCAAAAGGATGATGCTGCAGGGGAAGTCCCGGTTGCATTTGTAGTCCGTTCGGCCCAAGGTTTTGATCTTACTGAAGAAGCTATAAAGGAATTTATTGCCAAACAGGTAATACATCAATCTTTTCGGATCGAATCTAGAAGAGAACTGTAGAATTTTACTAAGCATAATTTAACGTAAAATTGATATGGCAGGTGGTATTCTATAAAAAATTGCACAAGGTGTATTTTATTCATGCGATTCCGAAGTCTCCATCTGGAAAGATACTAAGGAAAGATTTGAGAGCCAAACTTGCCGCGACACCACAATGATAATGCACTCTGTCTACGCAAAGTCCGTAATTGTATCGAAGATCACTTATGCTAAAAGTCTTTAACAGTATTGTATCAAGTCTTATATATCCAATGACTAATTCTGTGAAGGTTGATTTACTTTTTTTTTTAAAAAAAATTCTTCACTTTTTGTGTGAATTTTCTGGATTCTTTGAAAGGAAAACTTTCAGTTTTATAAATTCATGCACCATTATTTATTACTCTTCCAAGTTCCATGTACCTCAATTTATGTGAAGAACTATTTTTATTTATTTATTGAAATTTGTTGCAAAAAATTGATTTATTGTAAATTTGGAAAGCAATTATGCATTACGCACTATTCAGTATTGACCAAAATAGAGTTGTACTTACAATTGGTCCCATCAAATTATGTTGTGTGTTACTATGTATCCTAATTCCTATCATTTCTTAAATGAAAAATTACGTGGCATAATTAACTTGTACACTGTTTTTATTATTTCTTCAACTTCAAATGCTGTTTTTTCATCTTTTAACTCAAACACTGTCATAATGGCAAAAGAGAAAAATGGAGGAAACTGGAGTATCTTAAAGGAGGGAAAAACATACGAATAATTACATTAATATACCACTTAAGATATCGTTATATCTAAAATTCTCTTATCATTTGAAAAAAAAATCCCCTCTTAGATACATCTCTATCCCCTCTCAGATATAGCCCTCCCATTAAGTAATGTATCATTTGCAATGTATCGAACAAACAAGGAATGTATATGAAAGCAATAAAATATTCGAGACTTTTGTAACTAGAGAAACTTTCGGAATAAGATGTAATTAGCCCCCAAATATATGAGATTTCTGTAGGTTTCCTATGCATTGTAAATTGGGAAATTTTCACAAATAGTCACTATAATAAACTTAATTATGCTCCATAGCCATAGTTTGCATATTTACGGGTTGTAGCTACAGTTTAAGTTGTCTCGTTTGTATAACTCGTGGGTTTGTATAATTTGCGGGTGAGTTTGTAAAATTTGCATGTTCGTTTGTATAACTGAGCTATTTTTGTATAAATTCAAAACAACAAATTCATTCAAACACAAATATCTGAACTTTAAACAGTTATACAAACTATATTATACAAAAGTTGTACAAATTATATTATACAATTTACGAATTATACAAAATACAAAATCCCAACCCACGTAATTATCACTAAATATCGGTTGCGAGTGATAATTAATTAAAATAATAGCTATGATGACTAATTAACTAATATATATTTGTTTAATCATGTAATTTTCCCGTGTAAATTAAGGTCTTATATGGGCTTGAAATGCCCAATAAGTAGGGAGGGTTATGAATGACATAATGAGTAGAGTGATCCCTTCAAGCTAATATGGGCCTCCATCATTTACGTAGGAGCCCACTTGTACATTTACTTTTTGACCACTAAATTGAACATAAACATGTTCTCCCACCTATTGAGGGAAGGAACCAAAAATAAAATAATCTGGTGTATTATATTAGTACTCAGATTTTATTGAGCTATTGAGATTAAATATTTCTTCTTTATGATAAAATGGAAAAGTAGAAATTTATTATGTTTTTCAGTGATACATATGAACGTAATTATATAGATAATAAGACTATTTTTTTTACATTAATATGATAATACTTGTAAACTTCATCAGTTTTGACTTGTATACTTAGTAGGAGTCGTGATGGATTACTCATATACAAAATGAAATTATTATTATTTTTACATATGCGAATTTACAAATAAAAAGGAGAAGACAATCCTCGAAAAAACGACTATGAATGATTGTGAACACTTGCTTTATGTCTTAAGCACCCATGTTTCATTTGCAGATGAAATAATAATCGTCAAAGTACTTAAGAAAGTATGGAAAGAATGGTGCATAATGGTTGATCAAGATTCATATACTAATAAATGCAAAATATATGATATTCAAGAAGATGCTAATTATCATCATGAGAAATAGATGCCATAGATTAATGAATCATTTGAAAGATATTAAATTTGTATTTTCCTCGAACATAAAATGTACTACTTATAATTTACCTAAATTTTTATTTCCAGATGATGCAATAATACGAACATTTAAAACATATTATGAAGTAATATAATTGAATTGTTTATAGAAAAAAAACCACTAAACCGCCCGGTTCATTAATACAAGTCCGGTTCTGACTCTTTACAAAGAGAGGAAGGCCCAAAACCGCCATTTCACCCAATAAATCTCAAACCCTACATAAACCCTGAACCTTACAGACATTTCATGGCTTCTTCCTTGTGCATCTTTTCTTCTCCATCAAGCCACACTAACTGAAGAAAAATCCCTACAATTCTTCTCATCGCCTACAAGCTCAATCAGTAATGGGAAAAACCTATGCAGCAGGGCTATTTGCAGCCCTAGCTTCTGCCAAATTTGGTACAGAAACTGCTTATGCCGATGGTAGTTTCAATTTCTCTCCGTTTTCCACTTCTTCTTCTACTAATGCCGCACCGAGTGCTCCTGCTGATGTTCCTAAGCCACCTCAGCCGACAGCGGAAGCTCCTGAAAAGCCAAAGGTTCGAAATGATAATCCCAGGACTACTTCAGCTGGTTTTGATCCGGAGGCATTGGAGAGAGGGGCCAAGGCGTTGAGGGAGATTAATAGTTCCAAAAGTGCCAAACAGGTCTGGAACCCGAGTTGATTTTTTAGCTTTATTCTTAGGAAACATGATTGAAATGTCCCAATTTGTTTGGTTGCTACTATTTGGGGAATCAATTAGTTGGAAAATATATTAACTGTCAAAATTAAAGGATTGTGTATTGTTATGTAGTTTAAATTTTATTTCAGAAAAATTAAGGAACTGCTATGGTGTTCACACTGAATATAAGACTACATGATTCACAATCTTGTCGTTTTTCTATATTTTTCTTTTTGGCAATGGATGTGTGTTGAAGTGGGAAAATAGCTCTGATTGAGATTGAATTTTGTTTTAATGAGATATTTCATGGTTGGTTGAGAGGTATTTTGTGGTATTCTTGATCAACTTATGTTCTATGCAAGGCAAAGGTTTTGTCTTTGACTTTCTTTTCCAAGTTTGTGATGTTCTATGGTGTGGAAGATACTAAATCGTGAGATCTTTGTTGTAGGTTTTTGATGTGATTAAAAAGCAAGAAGAGACGAGGCAAGCAGAGTTAACTGCAAAAATGCAAGAGTTTAAAGCATTGCAAGCTCAAGCTGAGATGGTAAGATTGATTTTCTATGGTGAACTGACGCTTGTGTATCAACTCATTAAGAAGAAGGTTCCTTTATTTGTTTTTGTTGATAGATATAGAAAGTTTCCCTTTTGATGAATCCGTAATCAGACGTATGAGCTTGCAAATAATTGTTGTAAGTTGAACGGTTGTTTCATTTCATAATTGCACAATTTGTTTGTGGTTTTGATCTCTGTTGTTTAATTAGGATATTCCATGTGTAATGTCCTTTGTTTTTCTTACTTATGCTATAAATCCTAATCAAGCATTACTGGTTGGTATTAAAAGTGGACTAGAAATTTCATTGGCCCCAGGGACATGATTATGTATTTCCATGTGCAAGCTAATCCAAATACAAATAGCTCAATTATCTTACATTAAAAATTCTATTAGGGAAGTTCTTGAAGATAATTAAGCCATTTATTCCAACTAATTTCCATTCAAACAGGCTCTGGAGTGGCCTGCTGAATAGTTAAGTTTTTCCATCTCATGAGTGCGTAATGCAAAAAAAAGAAGCATTTGTTTGAACCAAGTTAGCGGATTTGAAAAATGCTCGACATTTGTGCACTTGATAATTATTTGTTGTTTTAAAAGGGTGGGCCCATTATCCCCACCGAGTTTCGAACCTTATGCTACTGGCCCTCAGGATTCCTCGTTCATAAAAAAATAATTATTTGTTCACTAAACAATCTAAAGGAAACCTTTTTTGTTGTTCACTAATCTTATCAGTGCACCACATTTTACTTTTCTTGTTTGTAATTTCAAAATGTGAACTTTGCTATTTATGTACCTATGGGGAAAATTTATGTGATTAACTTTCTTTCTTTTAACAGGAGAGACAAAGGGTTGTATACGATGAACAGAAGAAACTAGCTCAGCAACAGGCACAAATCAAGTCACAGATGGCTCGATATGAAGATGAATTAGCAAGGAAAAGGATGCAGGCATGTAAAGGTCTTCTTAATGTCATGGTTAAATTGGTATTGCATTAACTGATAAAGCTGACTTCTCCTTGCATTCTGCAGGCAGAAAATGAGCATCAAAGAGCTAGAAATCAGGAGTTGGTAAAAATGCAAGAGGAATCAGGTATGAGACAAGAGGCTGCTAGACGAGCAACAGAAGAACAAATCCAAGCGCAGCGCCGACAGACAGAGAGAGAAAAGGCAGAGATAGAACGTGAAACTATTAGAGTGAGAGCTATGGCAGAAGCCGAGGGGAGAGCGCATGAAGCAAAGCTGGCTGAGGATGTTAACAGAAGAATACTAGTGGACCGTGCAAATGCTGAAAGGGAGAAATGGATTGCCGCGATTAATACGACTTTTGAGCACATTGGAGGTTCTTCTCTAACGACCATCTTAAAGCTTGCATTTTATGGGTATCCATGTATAGAGTTTTTCTTAATAGGTAGCCATGTGTAGAGTTATGATCCATAACCCTCTATTTCATTCATGTTATTAATACTGACTTGCGTAATGCATACTTACCTTGTTTTGATGTTGAATTTTTTTGGTCTGAATCTGCCTTTCATGCCAATGGGTTGTGTTTGTAAATTTTGCTGAAGAGACGGAAAACAGAAACAGGAAGAGATTTGAATTTATAATTGTTTTAAGTATTGTGGAGTAATAGTTGTTTGCTGGTGTCAGAAACAATCAATGAGTTTGTTATTTAGATTTTAGACATTTTCTGTGCTCATTTTCCTTTTTAGCATTTTCACTGAGTAGCAGAAAAAAATTAAATACACCATACGCGATTTCTGGACTCCTTACATATTCATAGATGCTTCATTCTTCTGATTCTTGGCAAGCCCCTAGTGACTACATTTAGTGCTGATACTTGAGTGGTGGATTAGAACTTTGTATTAGATAAATTGCAGTATGTAACAGTTCTCTCTTTAAAAAGGTAATAAAGCACTACAGATTTATACCAAATGCACACATTGTAGCTAGGCTTGTATTTCTGGCTACTGCTAATGCAAAAATATGATCTTTCTGACGTGAAGATATTCATTTATGTAGGTGGTTTCCGGGCAATACTAACGGATCAAAATAAGCTTGTTGTGGCTGTTGGTGGTGTGACAGCTCTCGCGGCTGGAATATACACAACAAGGTATTAAATATATTTTCAAAATAACAGTGTGAAAGTTTTTGGCTTGTGCAATTTTTTCCAATTCATGCTAAATGTTGTGATGTAAATTTTCTTATGTACATTGCTTGTGGGATCTAGGCATTTTCTTTTCCTCTTTCAGAATCCACATGAACAGACATCAGATACTTTGACCATACTTTTTTTTTGATGAAGGAAGAGAATCCCGTTGATAGCATCAAGAAGATACAATGATTACAAACGATAACAAAAACACCAAAGACTATCAGCTTTAAATACAATATATAGCAAAGCTAATGCTAAAGAGCTGATAAAGTCTGCGTTTTTTGGGGGTGGCTGGAGTAAGGAGTGGTGGTGTTTTAATCACATTGATCAGTCCTTTACTTTGTTCCATCATTTTAGTTGTGGCTTATGACGCCTCAGTGGGATGACGCTTTCTGCTGGCTTTTTGAGTCCGTTGTGGTTATTGGCCCAAGTCTTCTTTGTTTGTTCTTCTGGTTTGAGCATCATTGTTACTCAAAACCACCTTATGGGGATAAAATGAAGATTCACTTGCGAGGAGAATCCTACTGTAATGGGATGCAAACTTGTAAACATTTCCATCATTTTAGCCATGCTGAATTCATATGATAATTAGCTACTGGTAGAATTGTCTTGTTTGACTGCTGCCTCTATCGATAATCCACTTGTTTATTTCAAATGGCTATCAACAAAGAAGTTGGTTGATTTGGGATAGGCGGTAGTAACTATTAAGTTTTGGTTATCCTCTTGTATCCTGTGGTTGTTCTTGAAGGTACTTTTTTAGCACTACTTGTTTTGACTGGTGTATCTAGTATGGTTGATGCTAGTTTGCTATCTGGATTGCAGGGAAGGTGCAAGAGTTGTTTGGAGTTATGTGGACAGAATATTGGGACAGCCATCTTTGATCAGAGAGTCATCTAGAGGTAAATATCCCTGGTCGGGCTTCTTCTCACGAGCCATGAGTTCTCTCAAAGGTGCTAATGGAGGTTCCGCAACCAAATCTGAGAAAGGGTTCGGTGATGTCATTCTACATCCATCTCTTGAAAAAAGGATTCAGCAGTTAGCCAATGCCACTGCTAATACCAAAGCTCATCAAGCTCCATTTCGCAACATGCTCTTTTATGGCCCTCCAGGAACAGGGAAGACAATGGTTGCTAGAGAGCTTGCTCGCAGATCGGTAAGATCTTTCTTCCCCTTTCAACTAATGAGCAGTGATCTTTACATATTCATATTGATATGTGTTCCATTCAAAATTGTTGAAGTATTGCATATGGGTTAGGAAACCTGTTGATACAATTTATAATAAAGCATTGAGTTGCCATGGAACAGGCTTATGTCTACCATCTTATTAAGTTGACAAAAAGTACCTGAAAAAAAATAAAATTGATGCAAAGTCTCACCATTCTGAAATTAAAGACACTCATCAAGAAGTTCTCTAAGGGAATTCTCTCAAGAGTGATGATTTATGACTCCCTTCATGAAATATCTATAAATTGGTGGTTCTGACTTTGTTTTGGTGGTCAATAATATGCTTGAATCTGTTGTCAGGGACTTGACTACGCATTGATGACGGGTGGTGACGTTGCTCCGTTGGGATCACAGGCTGTCACCAAAATACATCAATTATTTGACTGGTCCAAAAAGTCCAAAAAGGGTTTATTACTTTTTATTGACGAAGCAGATGCATTTTTGTGCGAGTAAGTGCCTTTTCTCCAGCATTGCTGCCTCTGGCTGATCTAGATCTTTAATAAAACATCTGCATAGTAGGTTTATACTATTTAATTGGGTTGCTGTACAAAGAGGTCTACTTCCTTCAATGAATTAATTAGTATATTCTTGTTCGGGAATTTCTGGAGTCCTTTGTGGCTTCAAGATGTGCTGGAAGAATTTGTTTTAAATACTGAGAGTTGCAACTTGCAAGGCACTGAAAAAAATCAGGAGAGATAACAATGTCTGAATGGTGATTTCATTACTGAGTCCTTGTTCTCCTTTGAGAGAGAACTTGCTGAAGTCAAAGGGAAAATTCTGACCTCATATAAATGTCGTCAAATTAATAATGCCACATTGTTAGATTAACCAGTTATATCATCTTCATTTCTGATATCAAGGCCAGGTATAATATATGGCTTGCTCGATTTTCACTTTATCATGTAAAGATGATTGGCGCTTAGAATTTGGTTGTACAGCTATTTGGTCTATGAGTTCATACCATTTCATTTCAATTTCAGGCGAAATAAAACCTACATGAGTGAAGCTCAGAGGAGTGCCCTCAATGCACTCCTTTTCCGCACTGGTGATCAGTCAAAAGATATAGTCCTTGCCTTAGCTACTAATCGGCCTGGTGATCTTGATTCAGCTGTTGCTGATCGTATTGATGAAGTCATTGAATTCCCTTTGCCTGGTGAGGATGAGCGCTTCAAGCTGATCAAACTGTATCTGGAGAAATATATATCTCAAGCTGGGGAAAGGAAACCTGGCTTGTTCTCTAACTTATTCAAGAAACAGCAGCAAAAAATAGAGATAAAAGGTTTGACAGATGATATTCTGAGAGAAGCCGCAGCCAGGACGGAGGGATTTTCAGGCAGAGAGGTCGCAAAAATGATGGCTGGCGTTCAAGCTGCTGTATATGGGACTGAGGACTGTGTATTAGATGCTAACTTGTTTCGTGAAGTGGTAGATTACAAAGTTGCAGAACATCAGCAGAGGAGGAAATTAGCTGCAGCTGAGGGTGACAAGTGATGAAGTTTTTTCCTTTAGATGATTTTTGTCAAAGAAGTTGATCAAGGGTGCGGTGCCTTCTCAGAAAATTATTACTGACATTCAAAGAATGGTTTTTATTCTTTTCTCAATTATTTGGGAAATTTTGGCTTCTTACGAGTTAACAGTTCCATTGCATCAGATTAGCCTAGGCATGCTCTGTGTTTACTCATTTTTAATGGCCACTTGCGTATTCAGCGCATATAAATAAAAGTGTTAAAAAGGCTGAAAATTACCACTAAAGAGTACTCTTTCAACAGAATCATTTGCAAATTTTACTTAAAGGCTCCATCAAAGCTCACCCTCCTTGTGAATATTCTCAGCCAGGGAATATGCAAATATTACGACTTTGCCTTTGGATTGCAATATTCTCAAGCTTCTAAATTGTTATAACTGATAAATGGAAGTGTTATTGAGGAATCAAAAGGGTTAGTTAAGGAATTCTGAGTGTTCGCAAGGGCATGTTTCGTACAAAAAATGTAGGGCGAGCCACGTACATTAGGCGTAGAGCACATTTGGAGCATACGTCTGGATGCTTAAGACGTAAGCCTCGCAAAAAAAGCAACTCCGCCATTTACCCGAACTCATTTTTCAAGTGTCTTGCCTCAAGGCGAGTTCCAACTTTGCCTTCTAAGCGTTTCTGGAGTAATAGTTGAATTGTAATATATATAACTATATAAGTCATGTGGAAAACCTTTGGCAGCTAACATAAATTTAATCAGGCAAAAGCTTGTGCTATGTATGTGCAAAAGAGAGAAATGAACTTGTCAAAAGCATCAGTAGTGCAAAAGAAAATGGATCACACGGAGCCCTAATCCTTATTACGAGAGGCAAAACTTGCCCGCATCAGTAGTGCAAAAGGAACACAATAATCAGAGTTGCTTGCATATAAAATGAAGACGACTTCTTAATTCAGGAATCCTCATATTGCAGTCCTAATGGTGATGATCTTGAACAAAGCGCAAACCACAGTACTTGCATATAGCTGGCTCAGGCAGATCAAGGCATATATACTCAATTGGATGACCAAGAGCAGGCGAGTCTGTTTCAGAAGAAAAAAATAGTACTTTCAGGCAGATAGATTCTTCTTAAAGGAAGCAGTATAATTCCTAAGCAACTCACTAACACTTGCAAAAGAAATGGGAGCACGATATGTTATTCAAATTACCTCCTTCGCAGGCAGCAATCCTTCCCCCAACCTTGATAGGTGGAACTTCACTGATCAATTCCATGGGAGATTTCTTGCTAGTATCCTACCATCAAGCACCACACAGCAGTCGGGAAAAGAAACAGAGTACTTTATAGGGAGAAAATTCTTGCTGTAATTTTGTATTAAAAGTGACATGGTAGAAACAACAGCAACAACAAGGACATTATATCTTGGTATAATCTCCAGTCCTTCTTATTCATCTAGCTATATCTGAACAAGCTTATTGTTTCACTGGCTTGACACTGATTGATATGGAGAAATTTCTTAATGCAATTTTGGTTTAAAAGAGGTATGGTAGAAACAACAGCAAAATACAAGGACTTCATATCTTGAGAAATCCTTGATACCTTATTGTTCCATTGCCTTTTTCCTTATCAAAGTTTATTGTTCCACTGGCATGACATTTCTATAAAGTGGTCACCTGTTTACATAATTTCTGACAAGCTCATGGAAGTGTGCGCTTTACATATGATTCACGTCCAAAAATTGACGAAATAATGAATTTTCTACCACACAAATGGTCACAGAACTCTGTGGTGCAGCACCCTTTGAAAAAGAGAAATAAAATTTTGGATTGGGAATGAAGGGGGGAAAATGGATTACTACTTGGGCCAGAAGCATGGTAGGACAGCTCACAAGCTACTCAAGCAGTCTAGAACTTGCTTAGTTTGACTAGCATTTGGTGTTATCAAAAGCAAAAAGCATAAAAAAGCTCTAAGATTTGTTGGGGGTTTTAAGGGCAAATAAAGCGTGAGGTGTTGATGAAAGAAGGCAAAAAGGGTGAAAAATACAAATATATACATTAGTCCAAGACCAATAATTATACACATGAATGACAAATATATGTAAAAGGAGTTGAAAAAGAAAAAAAATAATATGATAAAGTGAAATATCAATTATTTAGTGTCGCTCATTGGCAAGGGAAAGTATGTGTTAGAACCTTGATGATGGAACTGAAGCGCAAGCGCACGTTAACTGAGGCAAAGCACTCAACACGTTTTGAGCCTCACTTTAGGGCTTAAGCAAATCTTTGACAACACCGCTAGCATTCTGTTAAGCTCAATACCATAAAAGCTCGTCTCCATGCTCATGAGCCCCTTTAATTGAAGCTTAAATACATTTTTCTTGAAAATTTGAAACTTAAATACATCTTGTCTAATTAGAAACCATTAAATATCTTCCTACTACTTTTCTTCATATATACTCCTATGTTAAATACACACTAATAATAAATCCATTTTTTAAAACAAGCACACACTACAACATCTACTTTCAGTTGACACATATTTTACTTCTCGCCTCCATCTGTCTTTCTAGTCCTGTCAGTCCAATCTCCGATCAGTCCCTTCTTGCCATCTACAATCATGTGTTCTCTCTATCTTTTATTCAGAGTCTCCAATATTTCTTCTTTTGTCTCTCCCACTCCATTTCCTATCTCAATCTCATCTTTCCTTTCGCATGATTTCGATAATGACTGCCATTTAGCTTCTATTTTTTGGCATGCAAGCAATACAAGATTCAGGTCTTGCACACAACCACATGAGAAGTGTTGAAAGTTGAGTTGCGAAGGTTCTCATTCCAAAGGTTAAAATTGGAAATGGCTAATTCTATCTCAAATGAAATAGTTCAATCTCAAGCCTCTCAGTTGATAGATTGTGCCAATCTTAAGCAAGAAGATCTCAGGCTAGCCTATCCCAAGCGAGGACCTGACAAAGTCAAGTTTGTCCTCAGATTTGGCTGGCTCAACTTGCCGGCATCCATGTATATCAAGGTGCACAGAAATTTGTGGTCCTTTGGAAAGAGTACAACACCAAGCTTGTTTCATTAGACTTTCAGATTCTATGCTTAAGTGAACATAACGCATCAGATGTTAGTCAGTAGTAACTGAAGGACACAACAGACTCGGAAGAACTAATTAGGGAGAGAAACCATTTTAAGTGTTTCATCCAACGGCTACCTATTTAGCATCTCCCAGTTTATATGTTCAATTTTGTTTGGAAACTATAAAGCAAGAGTCAAAATAGTGTTGCATTTAAGAGAAAAATAACCTAATAGTGGAGAAAAAGTTGTAAAGAATAAGAAATGGTCCAAATACCTTCATAAAAAAGTACCCCCATAAAGATAGAACAAAGAAATGTGAAACGAAGGTAGCAAACTGGAAGAATAGGAGAACTGCTAATAGTTTACTGGGGATGCCATTGGGGGTCAAGAGCAGACCAAAAGCAATACAGAATGGTGTTTTAGAGAGATGTCGAAGCCGGCAAACTGTAAGAGCCAGTATCTATCTATGAGGGGCAGATTAGTTCTGATTAACACTCTACTAAATGCAATGCCTACTTATATAATGTCTTTATTTTCAGTTCCTGTAAATGAAGTGAAGAGAATAGATGCACTAAGAAAGAACTTCTTTTCGCAAGGTAACGATGACAAATAAAAGAACTCATTTGGTCAACTAGAGTACTCTCACTACCAGTAAGAAGGAAGGGGGAATCAGAATTAAGAATTTGAGAGTTCAGAATAAAAGTTAAATGATGGAGTGGTTGTGGACGTTTGTTGCAGAAGATGGATCACTATGGAAAGATGTAATAAAAGAAAAGCATGGGACAAAAGGAAAATGGACAACCAAGTCTGTGAATGGTCCTTAATCCTTATAAACTGTCTTTGGAAGTCGATCAGAAATCTCTAGTCTAAATTCATGAACAAGTCCAGCTTCAAAGTAGGTAATGAAATGAATATATCTTTTTGGGAAGATAATTGGTCAAGGATCACTGAAATAACTTTTTCCTGATCTTCACAATCTGAGTCAGCAACAAGCAGCGGCAGAGGGAGAGGTATGGGAAACTCAAGGATGGAACATAAGCTTCAGAAGACTACTAAATGATTGGGAGATTAGCAAATTAACTAAGTTTACAATGTTACCTTCTCAAAAAAAATAAAAAATTAACTAAGTTTACAATACTTTGGAACAATTCAAAAGGACCTCTACTGCTGACGACTATATGATTTGGCAAGGGAATAGGCAAGGCAAGTTCTCAGTTAAGTCGGCTTATAAATATTCAACCTCTCAAATAATCAAATTCGATGTTAGCCTTGGAAGAAGATATGGGAAGTTAAACTTCCAAATAAAGTTTGCTAGCTTTACATGGCTTTTGACAAAAGAGCCATTTTTGACATAAAACAACTTTACCAAGAGAGGATACCAGTTATGCTCTAGATGTTACTTACATGGAGAGGAGGCTGAGGCAATCAATCATCTCTTTTTACATTGTAAGTTGACAGTTCAGTTATGGAAGATATTCATCAACTTAAGGGGTATGGAAGGAAGTTATCAGTAACAAGTACGGCCAGAATAACCCATGGGTTTCCGATATGGTGAATATCCCGTATGGTGTCTCGGTGTGGAGAACTATCAGAAATTTATGGGGTCAACTACAACACTATTAGATACAAAGTGGGGAATGGGACCAGGGTTCTTTTCTGGAAAGATCACTGGATTGGTCACGATTCCTTGATGTCTTCCTATCCGGATATATATATCCTCAGCTCGTCTCAAGATGCAATGGTAAATGAGGTATGGTCTGAACAAGGGTGGAATTTCAGCTTTAGAAGGTTACTAAATGATTGGGAGATAGGGAGAGTAGCTGAGATGCTACAAACACTAGATGATTTCAAGGGCACAAATGGAAGTTGATGTAATAATTTGGAAACACAATCATGATGGTATGTTGTCGGTCAGCAGACTGTACAATAGGAAAGTGAAGGAACTTCCAGGGGAAATCTCTGGACCATGGAGTAAGGTATGGAAAAATAAAGTGCCAACTAAAGTGAGGTGTTTCTCATGGCTAGTGGCTAGAAGGGCATGCCTAACTCATGAGAAGCTGCAAAGAAGAGGCTTTGAAATAGCTTCTTGGTGTTCACTGTGTAATGAGACAAATGAGACTAATAGCCATCTATTCCTCCATTGCAAAGTCACTGCTCAATTATGGGCCAATTTTCTAAGCAGAACACACACAAACTGGACAATGCCAGAACACACTGCAGACCTTCTTAGTTGCTGGGTGAGAAGAGTGGGGAGTAAGAGCCAGAAGAAATGGTGGAACATGATACCCTCTTGTATATGGTGGACTATTTGGAGAGAAAGAAACAAGAGGTGTATGGAAAATACTGCAGAATCAGTACAAAAGATCAAATGGCGTTGTATGAAGACCTTCTGTTTTTGGTGTAATGAGGAGGGTATAGAGGATGCTGGACAGATTTTAAACTTTTTCTCTTCTTTATAAGTTTAGTAGCAATTTCTTGAGTTGGTCTTTTTTGGGTCACTGATGTAAATCTTTTTGATGGTTGTCAGCATACCCTCATTGCTGAGGAATACAACTTTACTTTATCAAAAAAAAAAAAAAAAAAAAAAAAAGAATACCTATAGTTCTAGCATGCTGGAGCGGAGATGGCAGCCTTTCTGGTCAGAAAGAGAGATACGGTTGTCCCAACTTGTATTTGGTGGACACCCTAGAGAAATAAAAAATGCTTTGAAAATAAATCCAGTAAAATCAAGTAGTTAAAATGAGTGTCTAGTCCTTTTCTATTTTTGTGTGTAAGCAAGGGTACTTAAAAGACCTTGAATCTGTTTTTGATGTTCAAGAATCCTTGTGAGAAGACAAAGGATTAGGAATTCTTTTAGTACTCCACAGTATAAATATGGGTGGCTACATAATTTTTGAGTAGTTTATTTTATTTACACATAAATATCGTACCTTCTGAAAAAAGAAAAACAAAGAAATACCAGAAAGTGTAGACAAAAAGTTTTTCTTTTTTTTAAGAAAGTGAACATATTTGTAAAAACCCAAAATAGTAAGTAGAAAATCTAATATGGGATGCTTCCTTTTTGAATAGTTTCTAGGAAAATGTGGTTAGTGTTTTCTCAATTTGCGGTTTCTCCTTTTGATAGTGCGTTCTACCTTCCGGCGGCCTCACTATTCCACTTTCTCTTCATGCTTATGTTTTAACGGCAACACAGATGTTGGGTGGGGTGATCTCTTAGTGCCATGATTTCTTCTTCACTGGCTCTTTAATCTTGACAGCTTATGTATGTTCAGTTCTTATTTGCAGCATCTACTCCCAATGTGCATTTCTGCTTTGGCACAATCTTGAAGTATCAACAGATGATCTGATTTCAGCCCAGCAGATATCCTGACTTAAATTCTACATACACTCATATGCTTGCACTAATGTTTAATTCGTCTTTTAATCCCACCAGTCCTATCATATCAGCAAAGAAGAAAAGATATTCTCTCCCCATACGAGCAAAGATTTGGTTTACCCTTTACATATTGCTCTTTGTAGATGAGATTGACTTTATAAAAAATTTATTCTTCTAGTTTATTTTTTATGGTTAATTCTATTCTTCTATTTGCTTTTATGATGCTAAATTCACCGTGTATGTACAACTAATTTCATCAATGTCCCATTAAGTGCATTTTGAAAATAAACCATTTTCATTCTCATATATGACCATCTATGGTAAAAAGTATACTCCTTAGTCCTTTGTCAAGTTCAATCTCAAAGGAAAAGAAAATGAAGCATGAACCACACCTTGAACCAAGTTGTTAGTCCCAAATTGTCCAACATTTGAAGACAGAATATGATGGTTGCTTCTAAGTTTTAACAACTGATTGACATAAGACCTCTCCTGAAACTAGCCCAAAAGGTTTTGAGGATATGCATGACAATCTGTTCCCTTTTTCCAGATTTGTATTGTTCAAAGTCCATACAATATACTGATGTTTCTTAGTAGTCCATGTAATAAGAAACTACAAGCATGGGATGTTCTCTTGAGCTATTTTAAATCATTATTTCAAATGCAATTTCTCCATGTGATATAAACAAATTGCATACTTTCGGTATAATACGCAATACTCAGCATTCACTCCCTTTGCACAAAATATGAAGTTCGTCCTAATTAGAGATCAATTCTCACCTTCACTTATATCTTCATCGTGGTATTTGTGCCAAAAAAATAACAGCTCTGCTTATCAGATTCTTCTACAACCAGACTTCCTAGGGTATCAAACTACATATGTTTCCAAAAAGAGATTTTAATCCTATCCTCCTTGTGTCTCCAAATTCGGAAATTCCTTATGAAGCACTCCACTGGAGAAGAAACACACATATCTTTAAAAGAAGATGAATATATTATCAATAACGAAAACTGTGCGACAAAAACAGCGTAGAGAAGAATAGAGTAGCTAATACAGATTTCAATTTTTGATGATCCATAAGCTAGGGCATCACAGCACCGATGACGATGAGTAGAACTCCGACAAGAAACATCAACAGAAAAATAAAGCACGAGGTGAGAAAAGGAGATTCTAACCTGCATCCATTTCTCTGTATGAGAGGTGATGACCTCGCTGCTAGCAACACCGCTGAGACTTCTGGTGTTGGACCGGACAATGGAAGATGCTCCGGCTAGGGTTTTGAGGAGATTGGTAGCCATTGATATGCCCTGTTTTGATGCCATTGTTGTATTTCCCCCAACGCTGAAATTCCCACTGCTATTCAACAAATGCGATGTTGCCTCGACTCGGACCAGATCTTGGTTAGTACTATTTCTTTTCTCTTTTTTTTTTTCTTTTTTTTTTCCAATTTCTATTCTAGATAAATACAGCATTCAATTTTTACATCAAATTATATTAACCCTCCAAAAATAAGTAATTAATAAAGTATATATATATATATTAATTAATTAATTAACTAATTAATCATTATTATGTAATAGAAATTTAAGTAGCAATATTCATGTATTTTATTGACAAATTTTACTAATTTGGTATAAATTTTAGATGCACTAATGGAGAGGTGGAATTTTTCGTAGTGGGCGAAAGCCTAATAGAGTAATGATCCATGGAGGTAGAAGGCCCACAGGTCGTGAACTTCTTTTCTCGAATAAAAAATAATGAAGGTATCTTAAAAATAAGCTTCGTCCGATTTATCACTACCAGTCTATTCCTAGCAGAATTCATCTATTTTACCGTGCCTTCAATAGGTAAAAAAAATCCTTTCATTTTTTTTATGTTCAAGGGAAACAAGGAAACACCTAAAATGGGCAATAGTGTAGAAAAAAAATCAATTCATTAGTACGAGATATTTTTTCTGTATTGTTAGGGGAAGAAAGAAATACAACAACGTGAAGTAACACTTAAAGACACTAGGTTCAAACCACAAAATTAGAATCGAAGAATTTGCATGACACTTCTAAATAAAACTAAATATACAAAGTTACCGACACTTAGTGTCAACGTTTGTACATAAAGCTTAATCATTTTTATGGTATAAGCAGTAAGAGATACAAACTAAATACTATTTACACTCCCTCATACTTCTCAGGCCTTCAAAATTGGTTAGTCAGAATCCACCATATTCGCGACTTGGGAAGTACCCCACCCAGTAAGATCATCAACACATCGATACTCAGATACTGCCTTGAGCAGTGTGACAGACATAACCAAACTCAATGTTGCATGTTAGTTCAACTGATCAACTCCTTCACATAATATTAGCTTAAGCTCCAGCCTTGCTGGTATGACCTTGGCATCCACGCTAGTCTAAGCACAATTGCATACTTGATATGACGTAATTGTAGTTTGGCATTCAGTCTCATCCCACAAGAAGTTCATTAAACGGTCCAGTAATGCTGATGAATCAGTCAGCTTTCAATTTTGATCCAACTTCAAGTTTCTCCAAGAAGGGAATCCCGAAACTGTTCATAGACCTCAACACCCCTTCTGCTTTGAGTACTAAGCCTGCTGACCTGTACAAATGCACAGCTGCACTCATTATAAACCGGTCAGGTTTTACAGACTTGGAGATTCGTTCAAAGAAGGAAATGCCTTCCTCCACATGACCATAGTCCATGTAACATCTAAGCATAAGACTATGAGACTCTAGGTCAGGTTGTAGTTCAGCATTCATGAGATTATTATAAATCCTTTCTACTTCTCTAATTAGCCCCCCTTTTGCAAAACCTGATAGCAACACGTTAAAATGAGCACAAGAAGGGGAAATTCCTTCTTTCTGCATAGAATCAATGGCCTTTTCAGCCTCTGAGCACTCTCCCACCCTTGTATATGCTCTAATCAGTGCAAGATAGGTTAGGGAGTCAGGTTTGTAACCACTGCTCCGCATGCTATGCATGAGGACTTCAGCTTCTTGATAAAGTCCAGCAGCCGCATATACATTGATCATAACATTGCAGCTCACCTGCATTGTGCTGAAAATTATTAAGTACTTTAATGTAGCAATCCACTTCTAAGCATTCTTCTATCTATAAATGGCATTGAACATTAACAGTGCATTATTGACAACCAAGACATAAGTTTGTATTGAAAGCACATGACAAAATTTCACCAGCCAGAATGTGGCTGTACTGCAGATACATATTTACTGCCGCAAAATTAAAGTAAAATGACTTTTCTACTGGACCTGACTCTGATTACGCATACATACCTGTCCAGGTTTTATCCCTGCTTCCTGCATTCTGACAAATAGATTAGATGCTTCATCATATTTCCCTGCATCGATCGAAAATAAGAAATCACAAAATTGTTACAAATAAAACACTGTGACAGAAGCCAAGAGAGTTCCAGTACAGACACATTTCCCTCTGCACCCTCGCCCAGGGAAAAAGCATAGCTCTTCACCAACCAAAAACAATTGGCAACAATACAATCATTATGACAGGTGTTTGAAGTTTGAACAGAGCAGAAAAGGAGCGTCTTGAATTTAAGAAAATAAAAAGGACACACATATGAAGTATGTCCATTCACATTTGCATTTTTTTGTTGGGTAATACAGAAACACACAGAAGATAAAGGGAAAACCAAGCAGCTTTTTTTTTTTTTTTTTTTTTTTTTTTTTAACCGTGGTTTCCGGGCGTCGCTTTGCGAACCCGACTAGCTGTACCCACCGGGTCCCGCTGTTTCAAGGCGGGTCCACCACGGTTAGTTCCACGGGGCCCTGGAGACGCGGCCGGTTTGTAATGCCTCCAGTGGCCCTGCTGGGGCTCGAACCGGCGACCTGTAACTAAGCCACAACGATAAAAATGACAATTTTCAATACTACCTATGTTTACGAGATATTGTGAGACAGATTAAAAAAATTAGGAGAATTAGCATTTGAATGATCTTCACCAGAAAGACCCAGGTTTTCTTAACAAACCCCTGAGAAATTTAGGCAGCAAGTAATTACCAGCCTTTCCATAATAACATATCAAGTTGGTATAAGCCTTCTCATCCAAAGAAATGCCCATCTTCTGAGCAATATCAAAAGCCTTCACAGCTTTATCTAGGTTTCTTCCTCGTCCATATACACTGCATCCACAACCAAATTCTTACACTTACGAGAAATACAAAATATAATATCTTTCCCTCACTCATTTTAAAGAATGACATGCTCTAACCTAATCATAGTGTTGTATGTTTGAATTGATGGAGGAACACCTGAGGAGAGCATGTGCTCATAAACTCTGGATGCAAGCCGCAATTTACCTGCACTCCATTAAAATGTCTTTAGGTCTCAAAACTTTTAATTTCTGGTCAATATTGGATCTCAATATGCTCCAAATGAAAGGAAAAAAAAGTTCAAATGCTTTAGGCAATTGTTCTCTTTAATAAAAGTTAACCTGCTTGCAGCATTGCCTTGATAAATGTATTATAAGCCACAGTATCAAGCTCTAAATTAGCACGCAAAGAATTGTGAATAATGGCCTCCGCTTCAGTATATCTCCCTGCACATTGCATTTCAACAACATCAAGCAACATAATCAGATAATACAAGCAAATAAGATATCTATTTCTTCTTTCCAATTTCAGGTTCTTCTACAGCAGTTGTTTTAAATGTGAATCTCAAAATCTATGAGTTAATGGAACTCTTTATGTATTCCCAATATCTAATCCTAACACAATCCACTTGTAATACTGGGGAAGAAAGTTGCAATTCTTCGACAAATAAATAGAGAAATAACTTTGGTGTGGTGTTCAATCTACCTTTAAAGTTTAGGAAGAACAAAAGATATCAAAGAGATCAATTGCATCAACAGAAGGCAGTGAGGACATCAATTGAAAAATTGTGGCATGCAAACACCAAACATCTGTTTAATTTATTCGATTGGCACAGCTAAACCAGCTTAAAGTACCAGGAAATTGTAGGTGAATGGAAGGCAGGCATGTTCATATATGCTCCTTGAAGAAGAGCTTCATTTTCATGGAAATTTCTACAACTCCTTAAGAAATGGAGAGAAAGGAGTCAGTCTGATCCCTCACCATCCTTTACCCACACTAACTTAAGATATTGTACTAGAGTGTTAATAGTTTAGGATTATGCCAAAATAGATGATTGTATAGATAAAGTAGTTTAAACGCAATTGAACAGGGTAACACAAAGTCTTAAATTGAGCAGAAAGCATTCAAGTCAAAGATTCCATACTCTTACCGCAATTACTTAAACCATTCACCAGCATGCTAATAGCAACTGGACCTAAAACATGCCCTTTCTTCATCTCTTCCCTGTAAAACGTGTAAGCTTCCTCTTGTTTGTCACATCTATTATATGAATCAATTATAGAATTGTATATAAGACTTCCAGTACTGGAGGAGTTCGCAACTGATGCAAAGACATTAAGCGCTTCCTTCAAATTCTTCTGCTTCCCATAAAAATTGATCAAGGATGCACTTGCAACATCCTCTGGTTTTCTACCCAGCTTCATTAACAGCTTATAAAGGTCTTCTGCCTTTGAAATGTCACCTACAGGAGAAATTGATGTAAATTACCAAAAAATCAGGCCTCATAACATTGCTGCTTAGAGGATGAACTAGAGCGGAAAGAAAAATTCAGATACAATAGTCCCAGATGGCCATTGTGGAATCACTTTAGTAACCATACTATACCACCATAGTGGGATGAAGCTAAGGAAATTATGAGTTCTGAGTTCTATGCTATTTTAATCAAAACATTTCATAGGGACAGGAAATCTGGCAAGGTCAATCTTTTGTCAGTCAAATTTGTATACATATCAAGAATATTAAAGAGCAGAAATAGTCAGTGTTGCTTACACCTAACTTACTAAACGCAAGAGCAAATTTTTTTACCTTCTTTGGTGAATTTCCTGATAAGCTGACTAGCAACAGACAGGCCATTTGCAGTCTTAAGCAACAAATTTAGTGTTTCTTCTGCCTTCAATGTATTTCCATCTGCTATATAGAGGATAAGGGCCAGCTCAAAAGCCATAGCACCTGGTTGGTCCAAGGGCTTGGAAGCAATGTCGGTTGCAGAAAATCTATCATTTCCATGGATGGCCACAGAAAAAGTCTGTGTAAATACAGAATCTTCAAATGTCTTGCTTGCACTGAACTCTCGTATCAACTGCACTGCATCTCTGACCATTCCTTCAATGCAAAAAACTTTCATGACTGTCTTGAGAAGCTCCTCATCAAATTCGACTTGAATTTTCCTTATCTGGAAAATGAAATCTTTTGCTTTCTCAGTTAAACCGAGTCTCATGTACAAATTGAGCATGTCTTTGCAAAAACCACACTCAGGAATTTGCATCTTAGAGAGAGCCTGAAACACAGCTTCGGCAGATGCCAAGTCTTCCTTCATAATATAGCACCTCAATAAGATACCATAACAGAAATTTGAAAATGATATGTTTTTTGACTTCATTTCATCCATTATATTCAGTGCGTCCTCAATGTTTCCAGCATTTAGATGGACTTGAGCCATTGTTGTATAGGTTTTCTCATTACTAATCACACCCAACTTCTTAACGTCTTCAAAAGTTTTTTGAGCATCTTCATAGAGACCAAGCTTGCCATATATTCTGATAAGCAAGCCATATATGACTTCATCTATTTTGATACCATACCTTTCCATCTCCTCAAAGAGAGCAAGTGCTTTGGGATAATCCTCCTTTCTGTAATACATTGTCAAAAGTGAAGCACATGTAAAGTTGCTCGGGATTATCCCTTGTGATCTCATATCTTCATAAAGCCTGAAAGCATCATCATAGTTACCACTTTTTGAAATCAGACTGATGAGAATGCTATAAGTTGCCTCCTCCGGAATGAACTTCAAACTCTTCATCTGATTTAAAGTCTTAAAAGCTACTTCAGCATGACCTTCTTTGACAAGTGAGCAGATAACGACTGTAAAAGTAAAATGATTCAGCTCAACCCCTTTTTCAGTCATCTGTTTCCATATACTTATAACACTTTCATGAAGTGATCTTTTCTGTAAAGATGACAGCATGAAATTAAAGACTGCAGTTGAAGGTGTAATTCCCCTTTCCTGAACAGCAGAAAAGAAGGACATCATAGCTTTGTGACGTCCCCACCGAGCATAAGCGCACAACATGGTACCACAAGCAACTTCATCAGGTTCACACCCCACTTCAAGCATTTCCAGAAAGGTCTGCTCAGCTAGCTTGATTTTCCCAACTTGGCCATATGTACGGAGAATAATCGTATAGACAATGACACTTGGCCGGTAGCTTAACTGTTCCAAGCATAAATCTAAATTACACCAAATTAATATTTCAGATTCTCCAAAGAAAAGTATTATTATAACGAAAACCTTGTGATCCTATGCTAATGTGATGACAGATTACTCGTGACAGAATCATAGCCAATGTTAATCTAGATATTAAGAACCATCTAACAAAAGGTATGTTGAAGAACTTCTAAAAGACAAAAGTATGCCAAAAATAAAAAATAAAAAAAATCTGCATAAACCTTAACAGGTGAAATTCCCTCCATCCAAATCTATATGACACTCCAATTTGGAAGGTCTCGAAATGATTGTCAACATTCCTTATCTATACAACTCCCACAACTTTCAGAAATATGAAATTATTAAAATTTTAAATATGATGTAATATTTCCCTATCAAAGTAACTTCTCAATCATTACATTAATATTTTCTTGTAAGTTTTTTCTCCTCTATCAGTAATGTTATAGAAGTCAATTTAACACCTTAAACATTCAAATTCCATCCTATAATATGAACGGAGGAGGATATAGTGATTTATCTCAAATATGTAGTTAACTTGTCATCTAGAAAAAAAAAATGCAATCTTCCAAAAAAACAAGCACTTGAAACTTGGAAGATGCAAAGCCCCTCAAAATTTGATCTAAAATCAGAAATACAGAAAAGATTCAGACAGAATCCAATACACACACCATTTTCAAGTAGAATTCAACTGGGTTTATCAAGTTTAATGTAAAAGTTGAAGCACCACTAAAAAACTCACCTGTAATTTCATCCAAGCGAAAAAATCTCTGACTTGTCGCCAACCCCTTTGTTCTTTGAGCACAACACACATCTCTCTAAAAGTAAGCTTCGTAACAAAAGAACCCATCACTTCCCTCATATCATATGACCCTTCAGCTTTGACCGAAAGACTTCTTACTCTCTTAATAGCCGCAACCACATGCTTCCCGTACAAATTCCCATTTCTATCGTCTTCTAAGTACTGCACCATCTGCTCAGGGGTTCGCTTAATCCATTTGGGTGTCATAGCTTGTGAGCCTTGGTTCCGCCTCAACGCGCTTAAATATTGAGCTTTAGCTTTGATAATGCGACGAGCGTTGTCGTCGGAAAGTGGGTTCTTGGGGTGTTTTGATCTGGGTTTTGGTTTGTTGAGGTTCTTGCTGTTGCCGTCGCTGAGTGTCCATGGGTCTGGTGTGACTGAGCAGGAGACTGTGGTGGGTTTCGGTTTGGGTTTTCTGGTAGGTTTGTGAGATGGAGATTTTAATGGAGTTGAGCAGAGGAATGAAGATTGCAGAGCTTCCATTGATTGATTTGGAAATTTTGAGAGGGCAATAAAGAAGATAGCACTGATAATCGCGGCTCAAAATTTACTTCAGGAGCAAGCTCGGGCAGTTTAAAATATCGGTCAGCAATAGTCGAAGTTATTATGTTTGGACATGTGCTGAGGATTGAGGCGTTGCGCTTACTCTCGACTATTGAGGATATGACTTTAGATAAGAGGAGTAAAGGTCACGTATTTTGAGGATACAACTCTAGAAAGGAAGAGTGGAGGTTGCATATTGGAGAAGAGTACTAGTATGTAGTTCATTAAGTGCGACGAATGATACAATTCTCCATATTCTATAGGAGTTATAGTCGTAGTGCAGATCGATGAATATCCTTATTCAACAAAAAAATAGTGCAGATCGATAAACATCCTTATTCAACAAAGAAAGGGCAAGCACCGCCCCTACTAGTGTGCAATCTTTCCTCGGGTTCGTAGAGTCGAGTTTCCCGTTTACCCAAACGGAGGAGCCGCCCCAACCAACTACTGGTGTGCAATCTTTCCTGGGTTCATAGAGTCGAGTTTCCCGTTTACCCACAACGGAGGATCCGCCCCAACCAAGCAGGCGGCCACGGGTCATAACACACTTTTCGCACAATAAATTCACTTTGAAGTTGACTTATTCGCTTGACTAGTCGTCAGACTATGTACGAAATATCATAATGGCGCGTCAAACTTCTCTTCATTCCAATATTTGATCTCTCTTATACTCCCATCAACACCAACTATTCCAACATGTGTTATTCTCTTTAATGTCCAATATTTTATCTCTCTTATACTCTCAAGTCTCATCAACACTTATTATACCAACATTTGGTGCTCTCTTTGATGTCGACTAAATCAAATTCATGCCTAGAAGTTCCATTTTAGGGTAAAACTATTTATCAAAAGGTTATTCCATTCTCATAACTTAAAACACAATTTCGGAGTGTAGTATTTAAGCATAGAAGTAACAATCACTAAATAAATGATATGTATACTTTTAACTCGGTAAATTATATGAGTGGTAACTCAATAATTTTAATAGAAATTTTCACGGATATGCAACTTGAACAAACTCTCAATTGCTATTAACTACCCCCACACTTCCATGGGTTAATCAGTTCAAGTGCTATGCAGTATCATTTTCTTTCATATATATATATGATTCAAAACATCTGTCATCTGGCAATTCAAACATTCTCGCCAAGTCCTATTAATGTGTTGAAGACAAGATTTTAGTGCCAACGGAAACGTTGGGACATTAACATTCATATCAACTCGAAAGCAATTTCACTTTGTTCCATGGCAAAATTCATTTCTTGTTCTTCGTGAGTTATCGAGCTCTGTTTCAGAACACCTTTAATCCCAGATGATCCATCACATCCACAAAATTGCACGACACAAACATAAAAACAATAACAAGTAGAACTATAAAAAACCCCACCGCATTTTTGTAGTAGCAGTCAATACAAAAATAGATTACAAGCCACTGTTATCAACTTTAAAAAAGGATGGGCATTGCCCCATCAGGCAACAACAACATACCCACTGTAATCCCATAAGTGGATGTTCGTAGACCTTACCCTTACCTTGTGTGATGTAGAGAGGTGGTTTCCCATAGACCCCCAGCTAAAGAACAGCTTTTTCAAAAATAAGTTTGACAAATACAAGAGTAAAAGTGTGCCCAAATGATTCTAATGCCCTTTTCCTGCTATGATTATTCCCCACCATTACATCAGCGGAAGATTCTACAGCTTATTGCTTATCATATTCCCTTTTGCTGTTTCCTGTAACACATGGATTTATAATCAATAAACAAAATCAACAAAGAATCCCTCCCTACTAATAAAGAGGGGTGGATAGAACAGAACATAAAGCAGGTATAACAACTACCAGAAACACCACAACAACAAGAATAACATACCCAGTGAAATCTCACAAAGTGGGGTCTGGGGAGGGTAGAGTGTATGCAGACCTTACCACTACCTCGTGGAGGTAGAGAGGTTTTTTCCGAAAGACCCTTGGCTCAAGTGTATCAAACCCAAGTAAAAGAAGAAGAAACCCGCAACTTTTAATATTTTCACTTAGGAAGCAACACATTCATAATAGGTACAAGCAAGAAATAGAGCAACAAAAAGATAAGCCTTTCCTACTGAACTAGCCATCTAAGCTCAATCTTAAATTGTGACTACCATCAAAATTATTGTGCACTAGCCTAGAAGGGATTCAAGACAGAGTCACTAAATTCTAAATTCTAACTAGCTTGAGGAGCAAATACCATTGCATCCAATTCTCTTTTGAAGCAGAGAGTGGTCAAAAGATATTGGTGCCTGATGGAGTGTCATTTATAGTTCACAAAAAGTAGAGTCAAGACTCCAATTAGGAAGAATAAAGTAAGGAAATGGTTGTACAGAAATAATGACCTACACAATACTTTGTTGAAGGTGGAGTTTTAAATTTCAATACTATAAATAAATAATTTGTCTATCATATTCTCAACATTGTAAGAAACAATTCAATCCAAAGAAAAAACAAAATGATGTTGGCATTCCATTGCAGGTTGTAAGCAGTTGAGCTTTGTACCTTATGAATACCATCAATATACATTTAGTGATTAGTCATAGTATTGTGTCTAAAAAATATTTGTGAGGAGATTTCCGGAAAGTACCGTAGAGGACGATGACTTGCAATAACATTGGGGCACCTAATGAATTTTCCTACTACTGTTGATCCTACATGGCAGACTATACACAAGGGACAGGTTCATGCAGTGGGGGTAGTTGAGAGTAAACTATGTCCCCTTTGTGGTATTGAGCATGAAAGCATAGATCACCATTTCTTCCAATGTTCTTTCTCTAGCTGCATATGGAGCAAACTACTTCTGTGGCAAGGTGATAGGAGGCCTACAATGAAATGGCAAGAGGAGATCCAGTGGGCTGTTTTGAATGCCAACGGGAAGAGCGTAAAAGCTACAACGTACCGGGCAAGTATTGTTGCATGTGCCTATTTAATATGGCAGGATAGAAACACAAGAGTTACCCAACAGAAGCGGAGAAGTCATGAACAGATTACAAGGTTGATTCTACAGGAAGTAGCATGTACAAGTAGTTTAAGTTTAAAGCTAGCCAGTATAATGAGAGAGCAGAATTTATACCCTTGAAGCTTTGATGTTAGACAGTTTTAAAGGAAAGAAATGACAGCAAAAACCTAAAGGAAGCGCATAATTACAGCACAAACCTAAAGAAAAGAAATTCAGTGAAAAGTTTTACGTATCCTCCATCAGAGAAGTACAAAATCTAGCTGTGTAAAAATATATAATAGGAAGAAAAAAACCCACAGTTTGACGCAGTTGTCAACAACATAGAAAGACGACCAAGACCTGCTTCTTCCTCTTATTTGTCAAACAAAGTTAGCACAAAGGTGTCTCTACTTTGAATTGATCTTTTCCCTTTTATAAATTTTATGATGTTATAGAGAAATCGTGTGGCTGCAGACAATCGACGCAGCAATAGAAATCTGAAGGAGGGAAAAAAGCGGAAGTGCAACAAATTCACTTATCACAAGCAGGCATAGAGATGACAAGATGGATAGCAGAAGAACAAAACTCCAAAAACACGAAGAAAAATGAAGCAAAAGAAAGGAAGTTCCAGATTTAAAGTAGAAGTTGTGAAGTCACCGCTAAGCTGTTAGGAAACTTTCTGATATAGCCTCACATGTTAAAGATCAAATAAGCAAAAACAAGGCAGCAAAGTAAAGTTAGTTGATCAGATAAACTTTACAGTCATCACGAACGTACATGGAGAAACAAGTGTTACATTCCTGGAAAAATAGCTCACGACAGCAAAAAGAAGAATGTATCTACCTCCCAACGGCCAACACATAAGGTTAATTCAACAGATAATGTTAACATGATGTATTTGGTTAATTCACAAAGCTGAGGAGCCATACTTGAAATCCCCACCAAAGCATAGGTCTGTCATAGCTAGAAGAATAGGTCACAACGCAAAAAACAAGACTATTTATCTCCCACAATAGCTCTTCCCTTTGCTTCCAGAACAAAAGGTACAGAAGATGTCAGGATAAAATATAATAGAAAGACTAAAATGTCCCAATTTTCATGTGACTGTCGAGAACCCAATGGGACGACGAAGGGGAGTGTATTCCCTTGTATTAATAGTAGTAATCATAATATGTGAACAATAAGAACTAGCATTCTTATAGAGGAATTTAAGAATGAAAAAACATCTAATCTAACATTTTAGCATTTGTGACTATAAATATAGAAATGTATTTTTTTAATCGATTAAAGAGGGAAGAGTGTCAAAACAAAGTGGAACGGAAGGAATAGTATAATTCTAGTGAACAAGGATCACTTCTTTACACAAGATCCGGGAAAGCACAAATTGAACTACTACCAGCGAAATGGACAAGATATAAGCAAGAAACAGTAAGTTTAACTTTTGCCTTGCTGCAATATCAGCTTAGTAGTTTGTATCTTGTTTTAGCCAATACAAACTACTAAGCTGATATTGCAGCAAGGCATTAACCATCATTTTACCACTAACTTCCAGCGGGAGGGAAGTCCATTAACAGAGAATGATGCAAATAAAAAGAACCAATTACCAAATTCAAACAGAGTTAACTCTGGGGCGAATACGAGCTCGTAGTGGGTTCTTCATCACAACGGTGAATTCTATAATCTCTGTGAGATCAACATCATCTCCCTCCACAGGCTTCCATTGAAAATGCCAAACCAAATTAGCCACAAAGTATTCCAAATGAAGCATAGCCAATGCATAGGCAGGACATATTCTCCTCCCTGCGCCGAATGGCATCATCTTGATCCCTCTACTCCCTGTTATATCAAACCCTTCGTTATCTGATCCTTCCACTAAGAACCTCTCTGGCCTAAACTCCAAGGGATCCTCCCACACCTTTGGGTCTAGACCCATCTCTGCAACCATGAAATTGATGGTGACATCCTTTGGGATGACGTAGCCGTTCAGTTCTACTTCCTCTGTCACTGTGTGTGGCAGCACAAAGTGACCAGGTGGGTGCCGCCTAAGACCTTCTAATATCACTGCTTTCAAGTAGGGCATTTTCTGCAAATCTTCCTCCTTCACCACCTCTTCATCTGTCAACTTGCTCTGTTTTTCTCCCACTACACTTGCAATTTCTTGGTATAGTTTTTCCTGAATGGAAGGGTTTTTGACCAAGTTGGCCATAACCCACTGTAAGGCAGTGGACGTCGTATCAGTTCCGGCGCTTAGGAATTCATTGCAGAGGGTTACGATTTCTCCATGATTGAGGTTCCTTTTTTCCTCTGGCAACTCCAAATTCAACAGCGTATCCACATAAGCCACCACAAACTCATCACCGTGCTCGATTTTTTGTTCTTTGGTCCTGATTCGAGCTTCAATCAGAGGGATGATGATACTCTTTTGCTCTTGTCGTAGTTCAATGAGTTCCTTCCAGCGATTCCGAAAAATTATTTTCCCAACTCTAGGAAAGAAATTGAGCATATTGAATCGTCTGAAACCCAGAAGCATTTTGCGCTGTATATTTTCAATTTGTCTGATTTGAGATTCCTCAAGCTTATCCCCAAAACACATCAATACAAGAAGACAGAACATAGCATACTGAAAATGATCAATTAACTTAACAGAATCAACTTGGGAGTTACGGAGCTGTTGAATGAGGATACCCAATACCCAAGATCTGGCCTTGGAATAGGACTTGATGCGAGAAGGGTGGAGAATTTCTGAAGTCAAATTTCGACGGAGTAGACGCCATATAGGGCCGTAAGGGGAGGTGTTGATGTTCCGCTGGTTACTACTGACGGGCCCAGCCTTTGGCCGGTCAGAGAAAACAGCACCTTGCTGGACTAAAGCTTGGTAGGCTATGGAGTGGCTAGCTACGAATATGGCTGAACGAGACCCAATCTTTAGGGTAATCAGCGGACCATACTTAGCCTTAAGGTCACGGAGGATGGGTTCCAAGTCGGCGAAGGTCCTTTTGGCCCATAATAAGCTACCGATCACCGGAAAACTGTAGGGTCCCGGCGGGAGCTTCTTCTTGGTATTGGAATTTGGAGAGACAATAATATTAAAAATGGATTTCAACCAGAAAGCAATACAGAGAGTAACAACAATGATAAACCAGATTTCCATTGCTAAATCACTCACTACTTTGTAATCATCAATGATATTTTTATCTTCTTATTTTCATTATCATTATCACCCGCCCAGTTCAGATATGGTGAGGAAGGTTGTCGCGACTTTACACATATAAGGTATAATATCTCAAATATAAAATATAGAATTATTTTATATGTATTTGATTGGAGTTTGAAAATTTTTATTCCATATTTATACCAAAATGGTACTACCCCTTGTCTCAATTTATGGGCATTTTTTATTTGTCGAGAGTCAATCAGTTCAAATTAGATTGAGAATTTGTGCATGAAATCTTCAATTTTTTTGAAATGAAATTTATATATTTATAAATTATGTAAAATGTTATATTAGTCACAATAATTTATAATTCAAAATATTTAAGAGATCTATCATAAACTTATAATTCATAATAACTTATTATTGGGCTCCTCTCCTTTCTATCTATACTAGTGACGAAGAGCCCGTGCAGCGCACGGGCCCAATATCTATTATTTTTTGTCCTAATGTATGTGGCACAGATAAAATATAGTTAGTTATTTAAATTTACCTACATTACTGGTCACTTTGTCCTAATTTATGTGATATGGATAAAATTAAAAAATTAACCCTTTTAAAATGTCTTTTAGATATTTTAAGTTGTTAATTATTATTATTTATAATACTTTTTTGGTAATTTTAAAATGATATATGTTATTTTTTTCTGTCCCAATATATGTGACCTGATAGAATTTTGAGAGTCAACCTATTTTATTATATGTCTTTTAAATATTTGAAGTCATTTGTAAATGATATATCTTTTTAAGTCATTTCTAAATAGATCAGTCAATTTATTTTTTTGTTTTTTTTTAATAAATATTTTAAGTTGTCAAATATCACGATTTATTGTATTTTATACATAATTTTTAACGATAGATTAATTTCAAGAATCAATCGAATTTTTTTATATGTATTTATTTTTGAAATATTTTATGTTGTCAATTATCATGATTTATAATATTTTTAAGATAGATTAACTTCAAGAATCAGTAGAACTTTTTGTATCTTTTTCAAAACATATTTTATGTTCAATTATCATGATTTATGGCAAATAAATTAAAATGAACCCAATATATGTTATTTTTGTTGTCTGAATTTATGTGACACAAATGAAACTTGGAGAGTCATCCAAATTTTCATTTTTTTTAAAAAAAATGTTTTAAGTTATTAATTATTGTGATTTTATAATATTTTTATGTAACTTTCAAATAATCTACATTACTGGTCACTTTGTGATAATTTATGTGATATGGATAAAATTACAAAATTAACCCTTTTAAAATGTCTTTCAGATATTTTAAGTTGTTAATTATTATTATTTATAATATTTTTTTGGTAATTTTAAAATCATATATGTTATTTTTTCTGTCCCGATATATGTGATCCTGATAGAATTCTGAGAGTCAACCTATTTTATTATATATCTTTTAAATATTTTAAGTAATTTGTAAATGATTTATTAAGATAATTTTTAAGTCATTTGTAAATAGTAGAATGTCCCATCATAAACTCCCTTTTATTATATAGTAGAAAGAATAGAAAATAATACGAGAAAAATCTAATAATTCCACATGTCAAGTTAATGGTAGCCTCAACTCCCACTTATATAATAAGAGAATTTGGACGACAAAGGCATGTCATTAAGATTTACACCCCGATATAAAAATATTGATTTCATATTACTTGATCACTTATTAAATTGAAATAAAACTTATTAATTTTTCTATTTTACCCTTACAATTAATATAGCCTTTGGAAGTTTAAATAAATTTTAAAGATTTAAGAATATTTTTTTCAAGAGGCAATAAATATGAACAAAGGGCAAAATAATAAAGTTGATTAATCTATTAATTTTTAATTACCATATGAAATAAAAAGTGTTCATCTAATATGAACGGAGGTAGTAATAAAATAAAAATAAGCTTTAGGTGTGTTTGGTATATTTAGAAAATATTTCTCGAAAATTAAGTGTGTCTCTTACTTATTTTTTTGGTATATGGTAAATAAGCAAAAAAATATTATTCAAAGAGCACTTACATGTTATCTTGTAAAATGCTATGTAGACGGATAGAAATGAGGAGTGGGGGTGAGGGGGTGGGATGATCAAATGCTGAGGGTTGGATACGATAAACTTGAAATGTTATGCAATTTGTTTTTGTTATCAATAAAGAAGTCATTTTCCTTATTTTAAAAAAACTTGTTTTACCAGAGAAAATATTTTCAAAACATATGAAAAAAATGAAAAACATTTACTAAACACACTTAACCGTGATTAGGACAATTAGGCTCCTTACTATTTTATTTTTTTCAACTTTCTCCTAGTTTTTATTTAGATGAAAGGCATATGTCATATATTTAAATCAATGATTGATGTTTAGTAAATTTAAAATAAGTCTTAATCATGATTAGAATAAAAATTATTTTCTATAAGATAAATTTCATATAAAATTCAATAAAGTTATTTTATTTGCACCAAATATATCCAAGTTTTCATTCACATAAAAGAAATAGCCCAAAATTAGCAATATATGTACATGCAACAAAAATTATTTTGAGCAAAATGATCATATATATATATAATGTATTTATATGTATATATAATGTATCGATAGTGTATAATAGTGTATACTCCTACATAAATTATGTGTAACTATATATGAGAAATATATATACATTGTTGATGCAATAAAGTCTTCATATGTCTATTAGGTATATACATGAATCTATATCTAACAAAAAATTATCATCATGGTAGACATTGTCGTTATATACGTTTTTATCTATATTACCTTAAAAGCATGAACTCCTAACTTGAATGTTAAATTACTATAATATTCCTAACTTAGGTTGTGACTTTTTTGATGACTTGTGACTTTTTCGATAAGTTGTGACTTTTTTCAAAGGATTGTGATTTTTCGATGAGTTGTGATTTTTCCAAAGAGTTGCGACTTTTTCAATAAGCAGTGACTTTTCCAAAGAGTTGTGACTTTTCCAAAGTGTTGTGACTTCTCGAAAAGGTCATGATTTTTCAGATAAGACACAAAAAAAATTGTTCATACTACCCTTTTTTGACTATAAATAGAGGGTCTTATTCTCATTTTTCAACCACATTTTTTTCTAATATTCTCTTCTTCTTCTTCTTCTTCTTCTTCTTCTTGCATTTTAATTTTTTTTGTGTGATTTATTGTCGTTGAGCGAGTTCAAAGTTTAGCAGAATATGAGGTACCACTATTCTGATGAAGTAAGTCACTCTATCCTAAGAGAGTTTATTCCATAACCGCGAGTACTTGAGGAAAATAATATAATTTTTATGATATAATAATTGATTTTTTGCTTAATATTTACATTAGTATGTAATGTTCCAATATATGAAGTTAACATGATGTGGTCTAAATTCATTTGATTTTGTTAACAATTTCTCTTGTGATGTAGATTTATGCTTCTGAATATCTTTTTCCAAAATTTAGAAATTGTGACGATTTATTTTTTATGCTCAAGACAAAAGAATGACTTTATTTATCAATGCTACTTATGTGATTTGGACTCTCAGGAAGTTTGCTTCAAAATAATTATTACTATATAAGCATTGCCCTTTTGTTTTACTTATTAATATTCTTAATATTTCAGTATTTTAAATGAAGAAAAGTTCATATAACTTGTAATAACACCAGTTGAAGTTTGTATTAGTTTAATTTTTTTATTTATTTAATAGCTGATTTTATGAGATAAATATGTTTATTAATGCAAATATATATTAATTAGTTCACCTGCTTTCATACAGTTCTCTGGCAATGGTAAACACATACTTTACACCACTAATCAACATTGTTTCTTCCTCGTGAAGCATTACTTATACAACCTATTCACCTGCTCACATACAGTCCCCTGGCAATTTTAAACACATACTTTACATATATATGTTACTCGTAACCTTATATTTGCCGCACTTTACATCTTAATGATACCCTCTTTTATGCATCAAATCCAATTCTAATCATGCAGATTTCGACTATTTACCGCCCTCATCAATGGTACTAATACACAATAACTCCTAGAATTAACATTGTCGCTCTCATCTCCCAATGGTAGTCATCAAGCTCCAGCCCACATGACGACTGAAATTGAACTAGCAAAATGGAATGTACCGATAAACAACATACAAAAACAATTTGTTAACTCGGTGATGAGAGTCTTAGTGATTTGAAGGGGTTCAATAATGCCTTACAAGAATTCAAGGCATGAAGGGACTTTTAGAACAATAATATTAGCTAACTAAGAGGTAATAACATCGACACTTTTACTTACCTTATTATTTTATCGTTCATGTTTATTGTACTTATACCCCCACCCCTGTTCACAAATACTAGGTACAAAAATTCAAGCAACACTATTTAATAAACATATCGAAACATGGAAGGACTCCTTGAAATCAAATAAGAGTTACTATATTGCTAAAGGGCGCTAGGATCACGTCAACCCCAACTACTATTATGTACATAAAGAAGTTGAATTGGCATTTACAGATAACACAATCATAAAGGTGACTGACATTGAGGTTTCAACACACAGATTCTTTGTTGGCTTTGTATCAATGGATCATGTCGATAAATTATCTAATGGTGCTATTCTAGGTAATTGTCCACCCAAATAATTTGTTGTTTAATTTCATGCTCTATTACGTAATCGCTATCACTAATTTACATTACCTATTCTAAGATTTGATTTGCGTTTTAGTTTCAATGAATCCCCTCATTGAAAAAGAATATAGCAAGAGACGTGAGATAGTTGTTACAAATGAACAGTATGTTTTGAAGATGCCTAAACTATCATTAATATACAGATATGGTGAAGTATTGACATTTCGGTTCTAACTGATAACCCATCATGGAACATACAACTGTTACTATATGAGAAGATTTTGTAGAAAATGACGGTGCTTTTCTAGAAAAGATGAAAGATGCTCTTGTAACACTAGGCACTTTTGAAATATCTACTATTTCCATGAGTAGCGTCTTGATCAATCTACAGTTTTAGAAATTCACGGACCTGGGACATTA